GACCCTTGGGTCCCTGCAACCCCATCTTGTCCCTGTATCACTTAGCTCTGGCTGCACTGGAGCTGCTTTCCAACAATCCAAGCTCCATTTTGCCTCAAAGTTCTCACATATGCTCTTTAATCTGGTCTTTCCCCAACTCTTGTCATTCTGGTCTCAGTTTAAATGCCTCTTGCTCAGAAAGGCCTTCCTTGCCTATCTCTCCCACGCCCCACCCCCACCCCAGTTTAATTTAAGTGGGAACTGCATACTATTTCCTGGTTGTCACGTATATACATTGTGTTTGTTTAGTATCTCTCTATCCGGTGAGCATAACTATCTTGGGATAGGGAACATCTTGGTTTTTGTTCATTGGCACGGTGGCTATTTGACTGTAAGGGCAATTAGCCATATCAGACTTCCATACAAATGGCATATTCAGGGGTTTTCAGCTATGACCAATGAAGCAAAGCAAATCAATGTCTGAGTGCAGCACCAGTGACAATGTATGTTCAATAAAGGATGCTGTATTAGGATGGTTAGGGGGAAATACACAAGCTTTCTTATCAACTTTTCATTTAGCCCCCTTATTCAGAGGGAGGGCTAATCCCTATGACTCTAGAAACAAAAATAGCTTATATTTGAGTATCACTTTGAATCTTTTCAAAACATTCTTTGATGTACTCTTTTTAACCACACTCTGAAGCAGTCACTATATTTCCACTTTACAGAGGAGAAATGGCGGCGGCAGCGGGGTCTCCCTGCTAATTAGAGGCAGAGCTGGGCTTAAACCCCATTCTTTGAATTCCAATGCTAGTTTTGTTTATTCCACTATACAAATTAACCTCACAATGAGGAGCAGAAGGGAAAGTACCCATGATTTCCTAAAACAGACGCAGTTCATACTGACTGGCCAGTCAACCTTTTCTCAATACTGAGCTTTGCCCCTTTTACAAACCAGTAACTATGAACAAAAATCACTCAAAACTGCTCTTTCTTCATCTGTGCTGTCATGCATTTCTCTTTTTAAGCCAGACTTTAAAGAAATTACTTCTGTTGTATTCTATAGGTACATTTCACTTTAAGAAACACAAATTTAAATAAAAAAGTCCTAAGATCTTATTTAAAGACTCAACATAGAATTCTTTTTTTATCTTTTAATATATTTCATTGATTTCAGAGAGGAAGAGATAGAAACATCAATGATGGGAGAGAATCATTGATTGGCTGCCTCCTGCACACCTCACACTGGGGATCAAGCCCCAAACCGGGACTTGTGCCCTGACTGGGGATCAAACCATGGCCTCCTGGTTCATAGGTCAACACTCAATCACTGAGCCACACCCGTCAGGCAACATAATTCTTTTAAATAATGAAACATTGAAGGCAATTACACAATTCAGGGCTTAAAATTGCCAGATCACACACAGCAGGATGCTTGTTTCTCAACCTGAATATATGTGTTTTTAACCTCACAAACCTGTAATGAATTTGCTGGATTGCTGGCTTTGCCATATTCTCAACATATAATAAAGGAAAAATTTGCTTCTTTGCAGAATAATTAAGTCGAGGACATTGCATTCTAGCCACAAAGAATTGCAGATTTCCTTCTGTAGGCATTTTTCCTTTCAAAAAGGTTGCTTAAAGTGGTTTTTTAAAGATAATTCTAGCTTGCTGAATTTAGGATGTGGAAAAAGTCCAAAGCAGAAATATTCCATGGCTAATTGTGCAAGCAATATTCCATGGTTAATATGTGTAGTAAGTAAGGGTAGGTGTCCTACACTGTTGATGATGCACACCCCCTCCCCCTTGACACACAACACATAATTTAGCAAAGTGAAAAGTTACCAGGGGCAGCGAAGAACCCTTTAGTACCATCACCACATTTTAAATGTAAAATGATTTCATATTTGAGTTCTTTTTCCCATCCAAACACTAACCAGGCCCAACCCTGCTTGGCCGACAAGATCAGATGAGATAGGATGTGTTAAGGGTGCTATGGCTATAGACCTGAGTTCTTTCTAAAATCGCCATGAAGTCATAGCTACTTTTCAGAATTTATCAGCAAGTTATCAGAAAGTGGATATCTTCATATTCAAGGCAGATTTCTCATTGTTCTCAGTTCACTTGCAAATAAGATGTTAGCCGTAAAATTTAATACAAGACATGTACCGCTATCTGAAGGCTGCTTTGAAATGCCTTGAAAAATACACTGACTAGCCCTGGCTGGTGCAGCTCAGTTGGTTGGCGCCTCATCCCCTACACCAAATTGGTGGGTTCGATTCCCAGTCAGGGCATATACCCAAGTTTTGGGTTCAATCCCCACTTGGGGAAGGCACAGGAGGTAACTGACCAATGTTTCTTCCATCCAGGTCTCTCTAAAAATCAATAAAAAAAACATATCCTCAGATGAGGATTAAAAAAAGTTAATTAAAGCTAGATGGATGATATGGGATAAAATATAACAAAATGTTTAATGCAGAATGCAGGTGGTTCACACTAAAACTCTTCAACCTGAGAAGAATAAATGTGGCAGGTCCCAAGGATAGTAGGCACCTGCAACGTAGCTCCCAGGTAGCATTCTGAGATGGTATCAGTAGAGACAACCATGTGAGACCTGGACAGCCTGGGCCCTTGACACCTATACCAGCTTCTCACACAGCAAACTGGGCAGGATGATAGATGCAGAGTCTTTGGGGACTCAGAGAACAAGCAGCCAAGTGGTTAGAGTGTATACAGAAGGAAGGGTTGATCTGTGTCACTGAGACTCGTGAATTATTCTGAGAGGAAAGAGCACTGCAGATGGGGAGAAAGTGGGTGGCTCAAAGGTCAAGGGCAATTTAAAGGTTAGAAACCAATACATTTCTGGAAGTCTGAGTTTGCAGTGGAGATTCATGCTTACAACATAATATTAAAGACCACCACCAAGTTCTTGGTCTTTAATCATCCAGGTTTAAAATACTCTACTGGGGATGTGCCCGCAACCCAGGTACATGCCCTTGACCGGAATCGAACCCGGGACCTTTTAGTCCGCAGGCCGATGCTCTATCCACCAAGCCAAACCGGTTTCGGCTCCAGGAACTTTTTATAGCTTGTCTCTTTTTCTGCAAACAAGACCCAACAAAATGTATCCTTGTGCCTGCTGGAGCTGTGGAGTTCCCCTTCATCGACAGAGCACATGCCCTAGTTTGTTGTTGAGACTGTTACATAGAGACAGAATCAGAAGCCATGCCAAGGCCCAAAGGTGACCTTTGGTCACGTCCTGTCTATATAGTTTGCCAGTTTATCACAGGAGGAATTGAATGGGTATGTTTTCAAAAACATAGAGGATCCAATGCTGTTGATGGTCTGAGGCATGGAAAACAAGTTTAACTTGTTTTCATGAGTGACATTTGTTGTATAAGCCTGCACGACTCATCAGTTTGTCCTGGTTTTAACAGAAGATTCACCTGTGAGTGAGGGATATGGTCAAGGTCATCAAAGATATTATGACGCCCAGACAGAAGAGGGTGGTAGAATGGAGGGCAGAGGTTGGCTTCAGCTTAGGGGGTCAATCATTGCAAAGCTGGGGAGGCTTACCAGGCCCTAGTGAGAATGGAAAAAGGCCAGATGAGAAATGGGTGACTTTGAATTGAAATGGAAAGATTGATGGGAGGGAAAGAAGGGGGAACAGAAGGGCCAATTCTTCAAGACACCCATTGTCCCAATCTATCAAAGTCAGTGATTTGCAAATTCTGCTTTGAGCTTCTCACCTTCACTTTAATCACCAACTTTGTAAATGGTTGATCCATTTAAGTTTCTTTAAAAGACACAACCCACTGTGGAGTTAAAAAAAAAAAAATCCATGGTCCTAGATAATGGCAAGCAAAAAAATCATTTGACGATTATCTGCGGCTTTGTCCTTTATGACTGCATCAGCCCAGGACTTATAGAACCTGCTGCTTTATCTTCAAGGAACACAACCTGCCTCCAAAGCTATGTTTGTCAAAGCCAACACTGAACTTAGATCTGTACAATCTGGGTTTGTGCCTTGGTGCTGATGCTTATCTGTGTAATTATGAGTAAGCCATTCATTTGCTTTTGTCCACACTCTATCTTGAACTCAGAGGGGTACACACAGAAAAGAAAGCAAATTGTATTTTTGTGAAAGAACTTGGTGGCTAGGTGCTCATTATCTGGTACACATGATTATCAGCTAGCTTCTTTCAGTTCTGTTCCCTTTGAAACACGTTTGCAATGCAAACTCCTTTTCAGTAATGGGAACAGTACCAGGTATAGTGTAGCTGCCCATGAATATTTCGTGTAAAGAAAAATATAGGCTTAGTGCCCAGATCTTTTAGAAGAATGATCTAAAGAAACGTTAGGAATCTCCGTCTATCACGTCTGAGGTTCCTGGCAGCACACAGGACACCCTGCACAACTCCACACTGAATTGTTTGCACTCTCTGGCACACAACAGGCCGTTGAATCCTGGGATGCTTTTGTCCATATCACTCTCAAGACTCAGCTCAGGTATCCTCTTCCTGCAGAAACCCTTTCTGTCCTGGATTTCCACACCGAGTTAAGGGTCTCTCTACCACAACAAACTTGCTGACCCAAAATACTGTGATTGCACCCTTTCCCAAGGTAAGGATTGTTCCCTCACACAGTGTCTGGCACAGATGGCAGCAGCCCTAGGAATGCTGACCTGAGTAACAAGACCACACTAATGACTCTAAATTTGGGACTATTTCACTTGTGATTGGTTACTAATAATTCACATTTGACCAGGCAAAACATATCTAGTTTCCCCCTCTGGAGTCCCATCCTGCCTAGCTGTCCTGAAGCACTGAGAGTAATACAAGGCAACTTTACACTGTCATTTTGATTCCAGGACAATGGTATTTGAGTTCTCAGACATTTTAGTGCCAACATTTTAATGACAACATGCCAAACCTGGATTTCCCTTGAGAGGAAGGGGAAATGGTGAGGGAGGAGCAAGTAGATGAAGCCAGCCTGCAGACCACTGGCTTCCCCGCCTGCAGCAGGAGCTAGAGGAAGGGCTTTGCTTTGCTTTGCGTAGGAAATGCATTTTATTCCTACATTAAAGCAAGCTGGCAGGACTAGAGGGAGAAGTGGTGCCCCGATGAAGGAAAGACCAGGCCTCATAGGGTTGGCAGCAGCAGGCAGGGCGTATAGAGGCATTAAGGAAGATAGAATTACCCCTGGAGGTGTGAAATGGGAAAAACAGGCACATCCTCAGGCAAAGGTCCCCCCCTGAGATGCCCCAGCTGCACCTCAGATCTGTCCAGCCTGAGCACCGACTGTGCCAAGAGCCTCCATGGTACAATTACAGGGGTGAGGGTGTCACCTACTCCTGGGCCTGGCCCCTCTGGGCACATGGGCATCTCTTGCATGCCCGTGACCCACCACTCCAAACGCTTCTCCTGTACACAGTACCCAGGGCTTGCCCCCTGGGATGACCATTGGCACTAATCTCTTTCACCAAGCAGGGTGACCACAGCCCAGTTGTTCCTGCCACTCTCAATCCATCTTGCATATCCATTATTGACACATCACCCCCTTGGGACACAGAGAGCAAAGTGGCATGATATGGGGTCCAAGATCTGAGTGCGCACAGGGGCATCGAATGTCAAGTCCTATTTCCAGATGTGGCATAGGGTAAGGTAGGTCAGTGATTGTCAGCTAACGGTAAGAAAAAAGTATAAGGGAAAAGAGATCAAGCCTCCGTGGTAGCAACCTAGACCTCTTTGGTTGCGTTAAGAGCACAACAGCTTTAAATACAAGTAGAATTCTACTGCGTCTTAGTTGGCAGAACGGTATGGTGGCATACACCAACTTTCTTTAAAAATATTCTAGAAATCCAATGAGCCTGGCTTATTCAGGTCATAAAGTACATTGACATTAGTCCCAACCTGTGCTGTACAGGCAGTAATCTATGGCCAATTTTTCTTTTTAAGGGTTAGGAAACTGTGTGTGTGTGTGTGTTTGATTTGAATGTGGGGAAGTGAGAAGCAGCAGTTACAGAACTTTGTTCCTTATTGGTGGAAAAAAGCCAACAGACACAGGCCACAACCACAGCCAAAAGGTTAGAGAAACTTGTTATTAAATTTAATTTTCTTTAAATACATACCTTCTCCCACCCTCACCCACTCTGGGGAGGAACGGAACCCCCCACCCCCTCCATTCCATATATAAATCCTGAGATGGTGAGGATGAAGTATAAAAATACTATTTACAAGGGGAAGAAGGTGTCTGTTGCTACCTTCACCTTCAGACACCCCCTACCTCAGGTCCCCTTTGCTCCTTTAGAAAAAGCCCCTGGAAATCCGTGTGAGTGTAGAACAAGCCCTTCCTCTGGAGGGGCACTCAGACTCCAACGTGGACTAGGAAGCTCCGAGATTGACGGAGGAAGAGAGCGAATGGATAGCACCGCAGACCCTAGCAGGGGGAGGGATGGCCCTCCCTTACCCTGTAGCCAGGCTGGCCAGCCAGCCTTTGTTCCCATAGGTCCCATGTAAACATTGACTTTGCTTTGTTATGTCCCTGCTCTTCCTAATTTCCTACAGAGCCTCCCTCACTTCCACTGGAGGCACTTGGTTCCTTGATCTTTTCTTCCTTCCCTTCTAACCTTCTGATGGAAGGAGTGGGGGACAGGGGAGGACAGAGCCCATCTCATCCCTTTGTGGTCATATGGTCTCTATCTCTACTGTGTGCTTCAAGGGTGATTCTTCCCCCAGAGCAGGGTCAGGCAGGGAAATCATCCAGTACCAGGATACGTTGGTCATGATGGGCGATGCTTTCAGTACTAAGTAGCAGGGAAGAAGACTTCAGGAGGCAGGAAGAAGGGGCAAGTCTGGCCTCTCACTGATGGTGGGAGACCAGCCCTGTACTACCTCCCTTCAGGTAGGCATGACCATTATCACCCAACAGTCTTGTTCATTGCAGCTGTGCAGAGGGACCAGGCACCCATGAGGCAAGACGTCTTCTCCAGGCCTTGATGTAAAGGCAGCCCTCACACCAGCTCATCCAATAGGATTCCGATGCTCTGAGTGGCCTCGGAGGGGCCAGCGATGGGCTTGTTACACATGGGGCAGACGCAGCGTACTTCTAGCCACTTCACCAGACACCTGTGGGCAACAGAAGACGTGAGATACCTCAACCTGCTCTGGCCGGCTATCATTCAGAGTCCAGCTGTTTCTCAGACCCAGACCATCCTATCCTTACTGCAATCGAACCTCTCCCTTTTGCCTGCTGTCCAGACAGGCTGTAGGACATTGCTGACAAGGGGGAGGTGGGAGGAGGTAGAGATCGTAGGTTCTAGAAGACATTTCCTGTTTATTTCTTTTAAAAGGCACCCCCAGGCACACATCCCCACTGTGGACACTTACTTCCGATGAAAGGCATGCTGGCACGGGAGCACACCTAGCTCATCCTTCCCCTTGAAGTCTTCCAGACAGACTGCACAGGTCTGCTGTGGAGAGCAAGGGGCAGGGGCAGTGTGAGATCGGGCAAGAACCCCACTCACCACCCTGAACACACATTATCGCCAACCCACAGTCCCACAGGTTTCCGTTGGGCAGTGCTATTCTAGAAGAATGGTTTTTAATGCTTTCTAGCCTAGCACATTTAGCAAGGGGACATGTCTCAATAATGAGAGGTAAGGTGAGGGTATGTGGTCGGTTACCTTCTTTAAATCCAGCCTTCTGTCCATATAGATGAACCCCCTCAATCTCAACTGAATTACTCTTCTAGAAGAGGGCTTGGGAAACATCTGAACTTGTTGAGATATAAAAAACAGGGGCAGCCCTAGTTGGTTTGGCTTAGTGGATAGAATGTCGACCTTCAGACTGAAGGGCCCGGTTTCGATTCTGGTCAAGGGAAGGCTTGATCCCCAGTAAGGGGCATGCAGGAGGCAGCTGATCAGTGATTCTCTCTCATCATTAATGCTTCTATCTCTCTCTCCCTTTCCCTTCCTCTTTGAAATCAATAAAAATATATTTAAAAACAGGGACAAAATGGGTTCATTTCTCAGTAATCTTGTGTCTGATGATATCTGGGACGCTCTCTTCTCCAAACAACCACAAACACTGTGTGCAGGAGGTCCTGGTTATGGAAGGAAGCTTTGGGCAGTGAGTTAGGTAACCTCCAGGCACAGGTGGGAAAGGGGTAGGAATGGCCTATTCCTAAAGAGTCAGAGTGCAGGGGAACCCAGGATTTATTGGGTGTGGGCAGAGTAATGGGGGGACAGGGAGGAACCACAGGCATGGACACACTACTTAGATCCATAGTCTGCCAGGGCAGAGTAAATATACAAGGGTAAAATGACCTTCTTTTCAGAGGTTCCCGAACGGGCCCAGGCTGAAAGCTGAAGGTGCCCTGTGCTTTACCCACGGGGGCCCTCCCACTTGGCTTCCCAACACACTCACCCCATATAATTGTGACTTCTTGGCATCCCCTTTAAGCACCACCTGGGAACAAAGGAGGCAGCATGGTGTCCAAAGAAGACAATCACGAGGCCAGGTGGTATCAACCAATGAGGGAAGTCCCCAGCTCTGCACAGGATCCTCCTCCCCTTCTGCCTTCTCCCTCCCTCCCTCCCCCCTGCCCCCTTCTATTAAGGGGGTGCTCTGGGCACTGCCTAGGCCAAGGACAGTGAAAGGATTTAACCCCGGAGAAGGCCAGAGGGGAGGCTGAGGGGGATTCCAGGCCAGGACAGCTTAAGCTTCTTCTCGTCTTCTGTCTCTAGCAGGACAAGGAGCAGAGGAGGAAGTCTCAGGGAAAGATGCGGTGCTTTACCTCCTTATATCCGTATCGTTCACTCTGCGCCTGGTTCCGCAGTTTGCTGGAGAAAAAGAAAGGGAGAGAAGCTGTCACTATGGCACCAACAGAGCCATTCAAAGTAGGAGAGGCAGGCGGGCTGCCTGGCTTCTTCTGGGGGTGGGGACAGGTGGCTGCTCACAGGGGTGGCTCACCCTATAGAGGCCATGGAGTAGGGTTTGGACCTATGTGGGTCACCCAGAGTGAATTAAGGACTCAGGCTCAACAGCCTCAAAATTTTCTGCAAGTGCCACCGACTGGAGGATTCCCTCTTCCTGCATTTCTCAGGAGGTAAAGTCCTGCAGGCTCCCAAACCCTATAGATTAACAATTACCGAGTGTAGAGAAGTTAGATAGTCTTAAAAGGGCTATTTCCATTAAGCTAGGGAAGCAGGATAAAGAAGTGTCTGTTGGCCGTGGGGGACGTTCTGCCTGGAGAACACAGTATTCTGGAAACAGCACTCTCCCCTCACGGTGCCAGGAAAACACAGGCGAGCCCTTCTTTGTTTGCTCCTTTTTGTTTCAAGCTGGTGGCCTGCATGCTGCCTCTCTCAAGAGCCAAAACCTGGCACGCGTTACTAAAGGCAACGGCACACCATTACCGGGGACTTGCTGTGCCCCGATCCCCCACTAACATATTCATGTACATGCCCATCGACTCCAAACAGCTTCAGAGGGACAGGCTTCCGTGTCCACAGATGAGGGGAAAGGAAGTCCAGAGAAGTAACTTGCTCAAACTTCAGAGCCAGTTGGCAGCATTTGAATGAAAGTCTATCTGATTACAGAGCCCGAGCTCTTTAACACAAAATGTGGCCTGTTTCACCAATTAGGTGAGCACTCCATTGTCGGGGGCCTGGCCAGGCCATATGTGCCTGGATCCTCTAAAGAACGAACTCCAATCCAAGTGGCTCCTGCCACAGGGCTGAGGCCTGGGCAGCACATCTGTCCCCTTTCTCTCCCCTCTTCGGAGGGTTCCTAAAGTGGAGGGGTGGATAAAGGCCTCCTCAGGGCTCCCACTGCCCCATCCTTCACTTTGCACTTTCATATGTTCACAGGCATCTCTGTCCCCACGTCCCAGTGAGAAGGGCGGGAAGGATGCATCCAAAGCTTACATACCTGCCAGCCGACAGACACTGGGGAGAGAAGGAATGTTCAGTCGGGTGTGCTTACAGCCACCTTCTGAGGGAGACAGCCACTCTGAGCAGGTATGAGCAGAGTGACTAAGGAAGCGGTGAGGAGCCTGCTTCTTAACCAGAGAATGACCCCTCATTGTGAGCCTCAATGCAACATGGCTATTATGTCGCTGTACGGGCGGATGCCTGGGGTGCCCTCCTTTTAATGGTCTTATCCGAGGAAACTCCAGAAGCCTGCCTCTCGGAGCCCAGGACGCTCAGAACACTGAAGGGCTTAACGCTACACCTGCAGCCTGCATGCAGATTTCTGGATCAGGAAGCTTTAGTGTGATGAAACGGGGCCAAACAGGTTGCAAAAGGAAACAAAACAAGAAAACAAAGATGCCGGGCCATCCCAGCAGGGGATATGGTGCCAACAACATTGGACAGGTGGCCCTTTCAGCTGATGGGTGAGCAAAGTAGCTAAAAATACCCCGATTTCAATGACACCATTTCCAGCCACTGCCAGTGAGCTCTCCCTTTGCTTCTGTTCCCTTTTGGAACAAACAATGCAACCAGGTCCTGAAAATAATTGCTCCTTTCCTGCCTGTGTGTACTTCACTGGCCCCTCCATCCTGTGGGGGGCAGAGATCAGCCCTTTGGGGGCTGGGGGAGAATGAGTGTGGGGGAGCTGGGAGTGGAGGCTGGTGTTGGCCAATTAGCTCACCAGGTCACGAGCCGGGGTCACAGGCCTATTTTGGCTGAGGAGGAAACCAAGAAGCAGGGAGAGGAAGTGGCTTCTGCACTTGTGTGTCTTTCTATATATAGACGCCCACAGGCTGCCACACACCAGTGAGCCTCTGGAGCCATGAGACTGCGGGGTGGGCTGGCTCGGAGCGGGCTGCAGAGCAGAGTGGGGTGGTGCAGGGGCAGATGACGGCAGAAGGGACAGGTGGTGCCGAGCAGCCCTGCCACGGGAAAGCTTTTGGCACCGTGCGGTTCTGTCGCTCTGTTCCTTCAGGCCAGCCAAACAAAAATTAATCAGCCATCCCCAGCTCCTAGCCTCTCTTCCTGCAGACACCCAATCTTTAGCTGTAAAGAGGTGGCCACAGCCACAGTTCCCCTCCACTTCACAGTCAAGGAGTAAGAATCAGCCATTTATAAAGTGGACTCATACCTAAACTGCAGGGATGTTCTGAGGATTAAGTGAGCTAAGTATTTTACAAAATGCTAACCATGATGTCTGGTATGCAGGTGGCACTTGGTAAAGAATAGCTAAAAATCTAAGGTTACACCCATTAGGGGTAGAATTAGGAAATGAACCCTGGTGGTCATCTACTTAGTGGCCCAGAGTGATTTTCTAGGATTTCTTCACTTGGTCACCTGTGCAGCTTGGCATATGTGAGCTCGTGTGTGTGTGTAAAGGGACCAAGTGGAGTTGGCTTTACAGACTCCTCCAGCATCATACACAAATCTTTGGTATTGGAATGTGTCCACCTTCAGCCTCTGGGAACTGCACATTTGCTCGAGATGAGAAGATGGAAGTGACTGGTGGTCAGGCAGATGGAAGTTTGAGGAACAAAACTCAGGCTTGGGGCAATACCAGAAACCTATCCTCACCCCCCGCTTAATAGTGAGATGCAAATTCTAGACACAATTGTACAAGAGGAAAAAAACAAAAGTATTTACAGAAGATAGTGGCTTCAGTGGAAAATTCTAGTTGTAGGGACTTTTTAAAGTTCTGAGAAAGAACCGAGAGCACTGGGGTGCAGGCCTGCAGGCACTTCCTCCTCTTAGAGATCTTCCAGCCTGAAGAATAGGACAAGCACCTTCTCTAGCCTCCTTCTGGGTGAAGGACTCAAATCCACCAGGACGCCTCAGTAGGGAACCAGATCTCCTTCCTCTGTCTTAATTTCATCTTCTTAGATGATTTGATCAGACACTAGCCTAGACTCCAGCTGACATCTACTCAAGCATTTGTGGGGGTTAGTTATCACAATGGCTCTAGCATGTTCTGCTAGTCAGAGGCGCTCAGCACTCCCCAATATACAGCGAAGAATGACTAACACCAAAAGAGTGCTCTTGTTAGAAATGACTCTAATTTCCAGTCTAAATTCCAGTTATGTCCCACATTTTTGGTAGGAAATAGCCACAGTTCCCATGTCTTATCACCAGGAGAAGAAACAGTTCCTGGAGAAACTCCAGTCCTTCCCTGGGTCCCTGTGCACTAAGGGAGGCTTTTAGTTTTTTTCACTCTCAAAAATAAGGGCTCCAAGGCAGAATAAACAAGCAGATCTCCAGACACCAGCTGGCTAATATTAGCATCTGCTGGACATAGAAAGATTTCCCAGGAGGACAGAGGTACGTGCCGCTGGTGTAACTCATGCCTACTTATCCCCAGCTACCCAGAGGGTGTGAGTGGGAAGAGAGACAGTTAAAGGACCATCAATGACATTACTTTGTCAGACAGTAAGCCTGACAACCTTAGCATAACTGGCCAAGAGGCAGGATGCAGCCCAACCCATAGTGACCTTATATGCTCTGGGACAACTTGATAGGCTGATGTAAACAGAAACACTAGGCCTCGGGGGCCCAGTCAAGGACTGGCTAAGTCCTGTCTTTCAAGCAGGACACCCGCTGGAAGCCAGTGACCATTGTTAAGCCTCGCTCAGCTCACCCTACCCCTGGCTGCCTCCTCCCTGACTCCCCCATTCCAGGTCAGCCAGTGAGTCACTCACCTGATGAAGTAACAGCAGAAGATGAGGCTGAGCATGAAGACAAAGATGCCTGTACCAAAGATGACCATGTAGATGTTCAGAGGAAGGTCTTGGAAACTGATGGGTGGCATTGAGCAGGACTTGTTAGTACTAACCAGTCCCAGGCCGCAGAAACACCCTGCAGAGAAAGGGGGAGGAAAAATAATACTATTCTAGTGGGAACTGTACCTCTGGGGCTGATGTACTCTGTGTCAGCAAAGACGGAGAGAGAACTGGCAGACTCTGGGCTCCTAAACCTCTGATTCCAGGGCTTAAGTTCATGTTCTAGTTCTAATACTTACTAGCTATGTGATCATGGGACAAGTAACCAATCTATGAAAACTACACACAGTACTTAAAGCTGCATTCCCCATCTTGGGAGGTGGGGTGGAGGCGGCGGGGTGGGGTGGATGTCAAGATTTCAGGCAATGGGCAGAAAAATGGAAATACTTCCTTCAGTTAGAGCCCATATGGTGCAGCAGCAAAATGAAGAACCTTAGGTGAGGAAATGGATATTTGGGCTCTAAACTCTGTTTCTTCCTAGCTACGTGACCTTTTATGAGGTTACTTCACTAAGCTTCACTCTGTTATGTGAAAACAAGGAAAATACAGAGAGGACCAAAAAAAAAAAAAAATACATAGAGAACCAGCATTAAGAAATATGCTTTGTAGCCTAGCTGGCTTGGCTCAGTGGATAGAGCACCGGCCTATGGATTTAAGGGTTGTGGGTTTGATTCCGGTCAAGGGCACATATGCCTGGGTTGCAGGCTTGATCCCCAGTGGGAGGCATGCCGGAGGCAGCTGATCAATGATTCTCTCTCATCATCGATGTTTCTATCTCTCTCTCCCTCTCCCCTCCTCTCTGAAATCAATAAAAATATATTTTTTAAAAAAGAAATATGCTTTGTAAATTGCAAAGTGCAACCCCAAAGGTCATTTGTCATTATGAAGCCACCTGCTCCAGGAGACAAGCTGCAATAGGACCAAAATAGAAATTATTCATTCCAAGGCTGAGTTCCAGAAAGTGGGGTGGGGGTTGCAGTTTACTCTTACTGTCTACTGTCCTGGTTTCTACTCAAAGCCTCACTGTGCAGTCTCGTAGTAGCAGTGATATTCCCTGGAGCTTATTTGAAATGCAGAGTATTGGGCCCACCCGAGAAGAAATGAATCAGAATCTACACATTAACAAGGTCCTCAGCCCTATGCATTCAGCTCGGGAAGCCCACTAGCTGCTTCCCTTCTCACATGACCTCAGGGGTATCCTGGTTGGTCTACCAACTGTGATAGTCGTCTTCCCCTTGCCAGGGTTTTGTGTTGAGGTAGGTGTGTGACAGGATTCTGGCCAATGAAACACAGAGAAATGTCTGCTGAAAAAGGGAAGCTTTTTCTTTTTTTTTTTTTTTGGTCATGTCTGCTCAAAACACCTGTCCTGGTGGCAGCCAAGTTATAGCTGGAAAGAGAGCAGTTCAATATAAAGCCTGTGGCAGGGGAAACAAAGAGGAGGAAAGATTTCATCAGTTGAGTTGCTAGATTAGCCAGTGCTGGAGCCATTCTCTATCTTGGGACTACTGGTTCTGACAGTTTAACCATAAGGAAAAAGGGGAGAAAAAAAAAGATAGGATATAAGCAATAAACTGGTTGAGTGTTTATTCATGCTTGCAGGCAAAAATATCATAGTGATCCAAAAGATAAGCATAACATTCTTGTTTCAGAATGTGGTGAGACAAGCAAACGAGAATTTACCATATACCTGCTACATCCCAGGCATATTCTCATGCTACCAGTTTAATTTTAAAAAGAATCATTGAACTGTCTATATTCCAACAGTTAACAAGGCCTGGCTCCAAAGTCCTCTGTACTCGAACCCTCAACATGGGTTTTAGGAACTTTCCTGACATTTTGGTTACGAGCCAGAACCCATTAATATATACTTCAGAATTCTGCATTATAATTACCAGAGCTACAGTTCAGCAGAAGTCTGGCTTGAAAGATGAAGTCATCTTTGATGTACTTCTCATACCTCTCTTCATCCCCTAGATCGATCCAGTGACCATATAATGAGCCTCCCTCCAAACCTCTTTCATATATTGTGCCCAATTCTATTGCCAAGTCCCTATTCCAAACAGAGGTTAGGCCCAATTCTATTCCAAGTCCCTATCCAGTCGCCTAATTGATGTCTAGTCCCTCCTCTAATTTAGCCCACATGGCTCTCATATCATCCTACTCTGTTTCTATCATGAATTTCCCAAACTCATGACTGGCTTAAATTCCTCTTAACCATGTGTGCACTGGGTCCCTTCTTAACCTTCCCACCAATGTCCTCCAGCACCACCCCATGTGGGCCTGTCTCCTCACTACTTCTCGCCCAACTTTGTACTCACCGCCCCATGCCTTTGTTCATCAGCTTCACCTGCCTGAAACTCCCTGCCTTCCTAAAATCCACCACACTTGGTCTTTGTGATATTCCAGGGACCCTCTCTTCCCAGAATTCTATGTGCTCACAGCTCTATCACATGTTCTGGCTCTTGAATACTTAGTAATTGTCTTACATTGCCCAGTTGTTTCTAGCATCAACTTAATTCAAACATACATTAAGCATTGATTATATGACAAGCACCATGATAGAAACTGAAGATAAATGAGTAGATGGTTTTACCTTCTAGGGAAGAAGAAAGCCACAAAGGTGTTTTTTGTTTGTTTGTTTGTTTTAATATATTTTTATTGATTTTTTACAGAGAGGAAGGGAGAGAGATAGAGAGCCAGAAACATCGATGAGAGAGAAACATCGATCAGCTGCCTCCTGCACATCTCCCACTGGGGATGTGCCCGCAACCTTTCAGTCCGCAGGCCGACGCTCCATCCACTGAGCCAAACCGGTTTCGGCTGTTTTTTGTTTTGTTTTTGTTAATCCTTATGCAAGGATATGTTTCCCATTGATTTTTTTTTTTAAGAGAGATACAGTGGAAGGGAGGGAGAGAGACAGAGAGAAACATTGATTGGTTGCCTTCCTGCAACCAAGGTATGTGCCCTTGACTGGGAATCAAACCCAAGATCCTTCAGTCTGAGAGCCAACACTCTAAACCAGGGGTGGGCAAACTTTTTGACTCGAGGGCCACAATGGGTTCTTAAACTGGACCGGAGGGCCGGAATAAAAGCATGGATGGAGTGTTTGTGTGAACTAATATAAATTCAAAGTAAACATCATTACATAAAAGGGTACGGTCTTTTTTTTCAATAGTTTTATTCATTTCAAACCGGCCGGATGGATCCGGCCCGTGGGCCGTACTTTGCCCACGGCTGCTCTAAACACTGAGCCAAACCAGCAAGGGCCAGACAAAAAGGTTTTCACCATACAAAACGAAGCACAGAGGAGGTGCAACTATAATCCTAAGATCAGAGATGAAAGTCCTTAAAAACCTGAATGCTCTGAGGTCTGAGGAAAGCAATTTGGATATTTTCCAGTGCCTAGTCTAGTGTTTGGCTGGTTCTCAAAAACTAGTTAACAGATAAATAACTCCTAATTTTCTCAAACCCTGGCACCTTGGCAGAAACTCACACTCAGAAGTAAGTAGACTGATGTTTGGGAAAATTGCCTAGAAACTGCCCTCAGCTGAATGGATGACCAGTCAATGAACAAGTATTGTTGAAGGCCTGATTTACGCAATGACCTACACATTGTGGGTAAACAAAAAGTAAAGAAGTAATTCTTATCCTGAAAGATTTTTTTATTAAGCTGAAAACAATGGAATAATTAGCTACTAAACTTTGCTATGCCCAACAATAAGCCCTTGCTTCTAGTCTCCAGCAGGGTTTAGAAAGTTTTCACCACCCCTCCACTCAAATATTTGCTCGATGGACCAAAGGAAATCAAATTTTCTTGAAGACATCATGGTGGACTGAGTCTATTCTGGAGAAGGGTCTTAGGGCTTCCCTTCAAGAAACTGTGTCCGCAATATCAATGAGGCCTTCCTCCCAACAAGAACAACTCCATCCCTCCCTGCCCCCAACACTATTTGATGCTATAAGAGGACCTAACCGCAAATCTGCCTTGACTCTGTATGCATTCTTTTACAGGTTGGATTCTGGTGTCTTTGGGGTTCCAAAGAATCTCACTTGGTTTCCTATTCTGGGAGCTCCCAGTGGGGTGACAGTAGCTATTGTAGAGGACTTGTGTATGCACTCTGCAGGCACTTTGGCCTCAGCAGTCCATCTTCATCATCTTCTCTTGTCTGATAACCCAAGATTGAGTCACTCAGCTTAGGACTCTTATGGGATGGGGGTGTAGGTGAGAAGAGCTTCATAGCCAAGAGATGGTCCATTTGCTTGGATGGTGAAGTTTTCCTCTAAAAGTTGGACAGAACACCAACCCCAGGAAAGAGGGGATTCAGAGGTTTTTCACAAAACGGTGGGGAGAGGGATTGCTTCTTCATTGGAGTCAAAGAACAGGATCTCTCAGTCACTAAGAAGTGAACAGAGGAAGCAGCGTGTCCTCTGCTGGCCTAAGAACCTCTCTGAAAAAGGGCTGCCCAGAAGAAAGGCCAGTGTGCCTGACAACCCCTCCCCGCCCCCTCCGCCGTTCTTCTTCTGAAGTCTCTTCCCCATTGTCTCAGCCGACCTATGCAAGCCCTGACATCAGGTTTCATCTCCGTGAGTGGGCTGGGAGTGGGAATGACGTCAAGAGAAGGGCTGGCCAAGAAAGACCAGAGACTCTGGGAAATGCCTCCTTCCCAGCCGAAGGAATCTTTCCCAGATGCCGGGATACACAGTTCGTTCGGCCTCACCCCCGTCTTCCGCCCCCTCTCCCGCAATGCCCGCCTATCACAGAGCTTGGTTCACTGTCAGGAAATTAGATACTACTTGCAAGAGGAAGGGGGTGGGGGAGGGCATTCTTACACATGCTGCCCAAACCTTGCCTTAAAACAAAAGCCTCTTGAAATAATTAATCCAAGACCTAGCAAGAGGGAGCCTGCTTTCAGAATGAATTTTTCCTAACTAGCCAGTTTGCCACACTCAGAGATAAGACTAGGTCTCCCCCTACCCCAACTCTACAAGCGTTACAAGTAGGCGGTCAAGATCCCAGGACCATTAGAGAGTATTAGTATTCAAGGTTTTGAACGGATCCCTGAGAAAGGCCCCCAGTTCAATTAGCTTGGGTGAGGAATCAGACCCACGCCCAACCTGTTATCTCCTGAACCGCAAAGGAAGCCTCAGATGAGATAAATTTAGCATCACCCGGGGGTTGGGAGGGTGGCTAGTGAATGAGGTGGTTGGGTCTGGCGGTGAAAACTCCACCATGAGGCTCCTGGGACCAGATTAGCCTGCGCCCAGGGGTAACCGAGCTCCGAGATACGTATCTGCGAAGCGTTATCAACTCCATAAAGCCACGCTCTTTAACCCGGCGTCTCCCACGGGCACAGAGCCCCATCGCAGCCAGTGCGAGGCCAACAAAGACACCAAGGAAGCCACCCCCGGCCGGGCCCGCACGCAGCATTGTGTGCACATTTCATAGCCTGCAAAGTTTCAGCCCGGGAACTTGAGCTCCCTCTAGTCTAGGAGATTCTAGCCCGAGCGCGGATTTCAGGCTCCTCCGACAATCACAACAAAGAACAGACTGGGAGCGCACAAAGGCAGGGGAAGGGGTAGGAGAGCGAAGCCGCCACACAAAGGCCGCGAACCCCTCGGCTCCCACGCCCCCGCCGCCGCCGC